CTATTTGCTTCATACAGCAAAGCCAGTATGGATCCTAGTGCAGGGATGGCGAACCAATGGCATGCGTACCATTGATGGCACGCGACAGAATATTTTGGGCACGCCACCTATCACAAAGTTCACTATGAAACGTATTAACAATTAAATTAAAACTGACAAAACACGAACAAAAAAAATTAATAATTATTAACAAAAAATTAACGATTATTGCAAAAAATGGCAATTAATAACCATAAAAAACAAGCTAACATTAAATAACAAGCAAAAAAAATAACAGTTAATAATTAATGAAATACAAAACAAAAGAACAATTAAGCTATGCGAGTGAAAGAAAGCGAAACAAAAACTATACAAGATATAATATGACACTTAAGCAAAGGCGTAGTAAACATTTTCAAGAGGGAGAGTTTTCGAAGGAAGCCTGGTTAGCTTGTGCGCCCTCACTTTTTGATAATTTCGATAAAAAAGATAAGATAGTTCAGCGCATCAAAGATACTCCTCTATCTAGAAATACAATAAAGGAGAGAATCTTAAAACTATTCAGAAATGTAACAGATCAACAAAAAATTGACATTAACTCCGCTTCTTTTATATCGTTATGTCTTGACGAAATCATTGGCATTACTAAATCGGCACGTTTAACTCGATATTGAGTAGGAAACGTCATTAAGGAAGGATTAATTAAGATAACATCGCTGCTAACAATTACAAAGGGCACAGATATTTGTACGGCTGTTAAAAATTGACTGATTGATTGATTGAATTTATTTGGAAAAAAATTGTTTCAGTAATAACTGATGGTGCTCCAAGTATGGTGGGCAAAAAAAGTGGTTTCATAAGTTTATTTCAAACAGACGTAGGACATTCAATTCTTGAATTCTACTACCTCATTCACCAACAAGCCTTGTGTGCTAGGAGTGGTTTAACATCTCTTGATAATGTAATGGAGGTAGTTACAAAAATAGTCAACCTCATTTCGTCGCAGGCCGTTAATAAGCGAAAGTTCGATGCTTTGTTGGAGAAAGTCAACTTGGTGTATAATGGCTTACTGATGTATAATAATGTTCATTGGTTGAGCAGCGGTAACGTACTTCAAAGATTTATTGATTGCTTGGAAGGAATCAGACTGTTTCTGCAAAATGAGGGAAAAATTGAACAATACCCACAGTTGTTGGATGTTATGTGGCTCTCAAAATTGATGTTTTTAGCAGACAACATATGCCAGCGCTTCAATGAATTGAACGTGAAGCGAGAAGTAAAATAATTATCATCATGATAGATCTCATTCACGCTTTTGACGCTAAACTGCATATTTTCAGGAACGATATTATTACAAGAAACTATAAGTATTTTTCAAACTTAAAAAGAAATATCAACGATTTAGATATACTTGAAAAACCAGGAGAAGAAACAGTCACTAAAGAATATATTTCTGTAATTGATTCTACAATCAATAAATTTTCAGCGAGATTTTCTCAGTTCAAAGAATTATCGGAAACACTCAAGTTTTATGTACCCTGATGTAACTTCATTTGATAAACTGGGCTTGTCCCAATTCGATTTTTTGGAAATAGGAGAATAGCGCTATTTTAACAATATTTTCATCTACCTATGCCTGCGAGTCATTATTTCCAGAGAAGAGTAATATTGAAGACTCGCTTAGAAACCGTTTGACAGGTGACTCCAGTTCAGCATGCATTCTGCTTAAACTATCATCTTACAACCCTAATATAAGTTATTTGTCTTCTAATCCGCAACAACAGAAGTTACACTGATTTAACTTTAAGTTGAATTACGTGTATAACTGAGACATTGCGAAATGTATTTTTTTTTCGTAGTAAATGAAGAGTTTTGAGTTGATAGTATTTAGTATTATTATTTTCCCAATAGTTATTTGACGGCACGTCAATGACCTCATTAAACATTTTTTTAGAAAAAATGGCACGTTGATACATAAAGGTTCGTCACCCCTGTCCTAGTGTGTATAATAAGCTATTCAGCTCTCATCGTCATGAGTAGTCTCAATATGTTTCCGTTTTTAAGGATGGGTCAAAATCTTCTGAGAATGTTGGATGTGGAATCATTATAGCTGATCAAACATGCAATTATATCAATGCCTGCCATATTTTCTGCATTTACTGCTGAAGCTTTGTCATTCTTATTGCTCAACGACTTATCTCATCACAAACCGTATTGCATTCACTCTGACAGCCTCAAAGGCCTGGTTTCTTTGATCGTCAGCGGAAAGTTGACGTACCGCTGACGCCAACAAAATACTGTTTTGTAAGCTCAACGTGAACAGTCAGTCCAACGCAGACATTATTTGGCATTGCGCATGCGTTAATAACGTAAGCAAATATTTATTTTGAATTTGTATTGAATTTATTATTGTCTACCAGTGCTTTAGTGAGCAAATATAAACTTTGTTCAAGTTTTGTTCAAGTCTTGTTTGTTTACTTTAATTAAGAAAATGATGGAAGAATTCTAGTTTTTTTATATTTTTTAAAAATATTTTTTCTTTTAACAGGGCACAATTCAAGTCTTAACTGAGCAGCCCCAGTTAAGCATTCTATTAATATGTTACGTATCTTTTCCTTGACTTCTTTTTTTCAATCTGCGCATGTAATAGAGGGCGTTGTTTTCTTCAGTTTTAAGAGTTTCCTTTTCATTTGGTTTGCTTGTGAAATCGCTGTTTGACCTGGTTAAAGTGAGTTTTTATTTTCTGATGATTTTGTTTGAGTTTCTCTTCGTATTCAAGTTTTTTCCTGGACTTCTATGCAAAACCTACGGGATACTGAGGGAGTTACTTTAGGCATTTGTCTCTCCCTCAATAGAAAAGGTTTTGTTTTATGGCTACCGGGGCCGGTACTCCCTGAAGACGTCGGCTTCGGTGGTCATATTTTTATTTTTATTTCCTTCTTTTCCTTTACTGCTACATTTGTTCAAGAAAAAACACATTATAGTTTAAGGCCTGGTTTCTTAGGACAGGTCTGCGTTACAAAACGTCAGCTTGAAGTAAGCGCTAGCCCCTCATTGGTCAATTTATGTGTAAGACAGCATCTGGGATGGCGTACCAATGGCACGCGTGCCATAAAGGGCACGCGGAGCAATATTTTGGGCACGCCACCGATTACTAAGTTCCCTATGAAGCATATTAACAATTA